ATGTACATCCAACTCAGGTGAACGGTGTAGGAATTACAACAGTTTGCATATGTGCCTCCCACTTGTTAAGGGACCAAAAGTAATGGGACAATTGGCTTCTCAGCTGTTCCATGGCCAGGTGACAATTCTAACATCTTTGGCTCTATACACCACCACAATGGATTTGGAATGAAACAAACACAATGTGCTTTAACTGCAGACTGTCAGCTTTAATTTGAGGGTATGTACATCCAACTCAGGTGAACGGTGTAGGAATTACAACAGTTTGCATATGTGCCTCCCACTTGTTAAGGGACCAAAAGTAATGGGACAATTGGCTTCTCAGCTGTTCCATGGCCAGGTGACAATTCTAACATCTTTGGCTCTATACACCACCACAATGGATTTGGAATGAAACAAACACAATGTGCTTTAACTGCAGACTGTCAGCTTTAATTTGAGGGTATGTACATCCAACTCAGGTGAACGGTGTAGGAATTACAACAGTTTGCATATGTGCCTCCCACTTGTTAAGGGACCAAAAGTAATGGGACAATTGGCTTCTCAGCTGTTCCATGGCCAGGTGACAATTCTAACATCTTTGGCTCTATACACCACCACAATGGATTTGGAATGAAACAAACACAATGTGCTTTAACTGCAGACTGTCAGCTTTAATTTGAGGGTATGTACATCCAACTCAGGTGAACGGTGTAGGAATTACAACAGTTTGCATATGTGCCTCCCACTTGTTAAGGGACCAAAAGTAATGGGACAATTGGCTTCTCAGCTGTTCCATGGCCAGGTGATTGTGGTGGTGTATAGAGCCAAAGATGTTAGAATTGTGTCAATGTCCCAATATTTCTGGACCTGACTGTAGGACTCCATGTGTCACTAGATGTCCCATGACCTTTCTTCAGTAGCAAACCAGAAGCTTGTGATAGGCTGGCCCACTGCAGCAACTTCTAAGCTCACCTTAAGTCCTCCATACAAACATTGGAATAGTCTTGAAGTTCCTGTATCCTCTCCTCCGATGGCTGTAGGTTCACCCGCAGGTTACATGCCTGCTTCTTCATGGGAAATGCATCTCCACCGAAAGGAAGGGAATTGCCCACTCGCTCTCCTCTTGGCTGAGACTCAGGCTGGCAGTTTCCTTTGCTGGATAGGAGAAGCTTTAAGTGTGCCCTTTGGGGGGATTTCAAGGGGGAATTCTGATGGGGGGCAGCTGAGTGTAAAACAGTAGGGGTGGGGAGCACAATTTGTTTAGTTTGTTGTGGCCGGAATAAAGCCTGTCCTTGTTGTTATTTTGACACAACTGTGGTTGGCTACTACTGTAGGTTGCTATGGACCACTCATCAGGAAATGGCTTGAAAAGAGGTACATGGTTAGAATAATAGAAAAATAGAGTTGGAAGGGATCCTAGAGGTAATTTGTCCAACCTCCTGCTCAGTGCAGGTTCTACTAGATATCTCTGATGTGGCTTCTGTTTGAAGACCTCCAGAAAAGGAGGACTCATCACATCATGCAGCAGCCTGTTCCATTGGCTGACGGCTAATACAGTGAGTAAGCTCTTCCTAACATTTAGCATGCACTTTCTTCCTCATATTTTTAACCCATTGGTCTGGTCCTGGGACAATAGAGACTAAATCTGCCCTTCTGTGTAACAACCTTTCAGATATGTCTCCCCTCCGTTGTCTCATCTTCGCTGTCTTTGCAGTTTTCCCCTGAACTTTCCTTAGCAGATGCAGATCTTGACATTTCTCCCTGTTAAATCTATCCTATGCATTTCAGCCCACTGCTGAAGGTCTTGTTGATCTCTCTTTCTTCTGAAGAATCAGACAACCTTCCCAGCTTTGTGGTCACCTGCAAACTTTCTAAGTCTCCCCTCAACTCCCTTCTCCAAGCCATTGATCCAAATGACCAGCCCAGGACAAACCTTTGTGTCCTTCTACGTGATATTTCCCTCCAAGTAGAGCCATTAATTAGTGTTCTTTGGTTGTCATTCAACAGTGAGTACATTTAATAGTATCACCTACCCCATATTTTACAATCTGAAGGAGAATCACAAGAGACTAAGGCTTTGCCAAGCTCAAGTTATACTATGTCTGCAGCATTCCCCTGATCTACTAAGCTACTACCTTGATCTGAGGAGCAGAATGTTCATCTGCATTAACAGATCCCTACCTTCTGCTTTGATAACTATCAGTGTGACTGAAAGACCAAGAAGGCTGGCCCAAACCAAAGGGGTGGAGGAGAATCTCTGACGCCACTTAGAAAATTTTATGAAGCCCAACACATCTCAGCTGTTACCAGCTAAAACATGTCACAGGGTACATTCTAGAATGTCCAGTACTCTTGATAAAGGAATGGTTTTGGAGACTGAAAATGTTCCTAATGTTCCAGGAGAACAACTTCTATGCAGACCACCACCCAAATTAAGAACAGCGGGAATGATTAAGGAGTTATTCAAGGTTTGGAGACTCCAGGATTTCCCTAGGAATGCAGAGAGTGATGCGCTCAGGTGATGCACCCGAAATAGAACAAACAAAAAGCCCACATGCTTCAAATGGGGAAATTTTCTTCTTTTTTAATTTACAGCAGAAAGAATATAAAGCATTCAGAAAACATTTTCCATATTTTAAGGGCAATTCAAAACATTTTGCATGGTTCCAGCAGTTGAATTCTTCAACAGATCCATTGGTTCAGTGATGCTTTTAACATGCACAGTTACAAAAATAAAACTTACAAAAGGAGACATCTATACTAGGTTTACATGCAAGTCTCAGGGACCCCCCCCCACCTCTGTTTGGGCACCAACTACTGTGTGGAACTGCCACGAAGCGTGCAACAGAGGGGGTTCATGTTATATTCTTTATTTCGTTCACACAGGATCATTCGTTTCACACAAGTGAAGTCACACAAAGGAGCAATTCTGGATTTGGGGGAGATACAAGAGGGTTCCCTGATCTGGTTTTCAGGGCAGAGCAGGCAGGAAGGGGCTGAGGCACCAACCTGACGCAGAGTCCTGCACACCAGGGAGGGACACGCCCCAAAGCATGACACGGTCTTCACAGAATGTGCCAGAGGTCATCGATTGGCCCAAAGCAAGTGGCCCCAATCCCGCAAAGCTGTTTGGGACGTGCGCACGGGTGGTTCCAGCAAGGGACCCTGGGAGGGGCTGCAGGTAGCAACGTTCCTCAACTTGCCTTGCGGGCAGCCCCTGCTCCAGCAGAGGACAGGCTGCCAGCCGGTCAAGTCTGTGGATCTGGAAGGAATGATGGCGGAACACCTTGAGAAGCTACAACTCTCTCTGGAAACCTTTGGCCAACAGGAACAGGCTCGCAAACCGCCCCAGAGGTCATTAATCTTGTTGGGAGGAAAAGCCACGTCCATCCGAAGGAAGGAAGCAGCTGGTGTTCAGCCAAGAGGGACTCTCCATCTGGTCAACCACACGCCAAGGACCTTCTTCGGGCACTCCAGCACCCTGGCAGATGCCAGGGCCTCTGCAGCTGTCCGGAGAGGGCCAAATGCCTTCAGCGTCTTGGGCGGGGCAGGTTTTATGGATCGATTTGCTTTTTTACTTAACTGAAGCGGGTCACAAACTGCACGTGCACCCACCCGCCTGGATTATTCTTCAGTCCTGGCAGTGAAAGGAAGTGATTAAAAGAGAGAAACAATTATAATGATATAAAAGGCACCTAGATCCCAGGCCAATTCAAGTCTCAATCTTTATGGGTTTATAGCCATTTTAAAAGACGTCTGTTTCAAAGCTTTGCAGAACTGTGAGTACCTATCTTCACAACCGGCCTCCAGAGCCCAACGAAACGTTGAATCTGGCAACTGGGATCAAGCAAGACCAGTCTTGTCCCATCAACCAAACCCCTCCAAGAGGCCAACGGGCACTAGCAAGACACGCACAGGATGGGGTGGCAGGTGGCGGGGGGGTCAGCAAGCGGTGCGAGACCTCCAGAAGCCAAAGGGAGCGCTCCAGCTTCCTCGGGCACAGCCGCACACGATCGGACACCGTGCGGCGGTCTGCGTTTCACATTGTCAAAACGATGAATTCTAAACAGATTTCTTTGGCTGCTCTCTGGAAATAGCAAATATACCATGACACCCCTATGTATCCTTTGCATCTTTTATTTTTTTTTAACTTTAAAAATTTTGTGCAATTTAGTACATTGTCTGACTTTCAGCAGGAAATATGGACATGTGAAACATTTTTTTTCTACTTTCATACTATTTCTTTTTATTTTTTTAATTTTTTTTTTAAAGTTTATGTTCATTCTAAGTGTTCTTTATTGGAGTGAGTGTATGGTGTTAAGCTAGATACAATTTTGAATTCTTATGATTATCTGCTTTGCAAAATAACTTAATTTTTTGTTAAGCAATATTAGCATTCACTTTACTTGGCACCATTGGCAAAAAAAGAGAGAGAAATTAAATAAAATAAAAAATAAAAAAGATAACCAAGAAGGTTAAAAGAAATTTAAAAACTCCTGGTAGCCAAAATCAAATGTAAACATATCTCTTTTTTTTAAAGTAATGTTACTTTGCCTTTTTTTTCCTAAGTCTAAATACATTAGCTCTTTTTGCTTCTGCAGTTTATTCATGCTTTAGCAAAATGTTCTTCTAAAGAACATTTAAAATAAAGTTTCTTATAGTGAAATAAAGTTTTTGTTTCATTTTACAGACCATAAGCCACTAATGCTTTGCTTTTTCATTTCTTTTTTCCTTGAATTCATGCACATCTGTTTTAATATATACAATATGTACAAACATCCACACTTTTCTCGTTCATTCAGACAAAACTATACAAATACGCAAATTTCTCTTGCCAAGTTATTGACCCTTTGTGAATAAAATATTTAGCAATTAATCAATATATTCCCTTTCAAATATTTATTTTTCATTGCCATTTCTACCTTGTCCCTATATACAGAAACTGCCTAGATTTTTATTTTCTTTCTCTTTTCATTCTTCCTTCTTTTTCTTTCTTCCTTCTTTTCTTTCTCCTTCCTTCCTTCCTTCCTTCCTTCCTTCCTTCCTTCCTTCCTTCCTTCCTTCCTTCCGTTTGTTTGTTTTTGTTTTGATGAAATAGCCAAAACAAGAAATTTACTGGGCGGAATGCAGTACCACGCTGCTCCCTTCGGCGATAGATCTGTCCAGTCAGCATATCTGCACATGACTCTTCAGTCGAACAAGAGGTCTGCAAGGTTACCAAAATGCTTTACAAATCATTGCAATTAAATAAGTAAAAATCTTATGTGAAGTAAGGCCAGAAAATAAAGTGCCAAATATGAGAAGTGCATATGGCAGTTGATAGACTTGAAGGCTTTCAAGAGAGAGAAAAAAAGACACCGAAAAGGAACAGTTTGCTTGAGCTGTTCACCCCATTCTCTCTCTCCACCCCCCCACCCCTCGTAAATACCCGTTTGCCTTAAAAACACTGACAGCTTCTGGAAAAACTCTCACGGGATCTCTGAAGATCAGCGGATCTAAACGGTTGCACCTAAGGTGTGTCGTGGGTTCGGATGAAGAACAGAAAGACAGACGTGCAAAGGGGATGGAGGAGGAATGACCAGGCAAGACAGGAGGCGGTCAAAGTGTTTCCATGGAGGATCCCAGCGTGTCCGGGTCGTGGAGGTACCTGACAGATGCAGAAATGCCATTCTCGGATTGTGGGGGTTTTGCGTTTTTGGTATAATATTTGTACAGTTCCACACATTGGTTTTTGTTTTTCTTTTAATACAGCCCTATATGAAAATGGTAATCGATTGCTTCTTTTTATTCACTTTTGAGAGGAATGAAGCAACTCATGAAAACTCCTTCCGGGTGTCACTCTTCCCCCCCTCCCTGCCCCAATGATCCAACCAAAGATTTGAGTTCCAAGATGTCTTGCTGAACAAATTAAAAATTGTCCATGAAAGTGCAAATGTAATGACTAAACATTACCATTAAAATCCTACAGCCGATATTCTCGGTGCAGCAGTCAGTTTTTTTTTTTTAAATAATCAAATCATTTTTGAAATTGTTGTTGCATGTTTCTGCTAAAAACAGAAAATGAAAACAGTCTGAAACACAACAGCCCCGCACTCCTTATGGGATGCTGTCGTTGCCGTGGTCTCGCTCTTCAAGTTCCTTTTTCAAGTCTTTCGCTCTGAGAAGACAAAAAGGGGGAAAGGACACGTGAAGTCTCTGCTCCCAAGCCCCTTCTTAAGAACGTCAAAAACACCGCTCCCTTCTTTTGGTGCCAACACGAGTGCAGCAATGTATTTCTCAGCTTTTCCCAGGAATATAATACAGGCAGTCCTCGTTTAGTGACCACAATTGGGACCGGCAACTCCATCGCTAAGCAAAGCAGTTGCTAAGTGGGGAAATCAAGTGACCGCAAGCGTGCTTTCCTTTTCCCCATTCCCTTGCCCTTGGAATGCTCACCC